GTATGTGTGTGTAAGAGAAAACCTAAAACAAATCAGAGTTAGGGGCATTTGAGTAATTGAAGGACCTTATAATTTTGTTTTAATGCCATGAGCATGAATTTTAACATTTTTCCAACACGGATAAAAATAAAATAAATAATTTTTAAAAAACCTATAAATGTTTAGTAATAGAGGGTACTATACTATTGCCTAGGCTACTATACTATTGGTTTCTTGCCAATCTGCTGAAGAAAGACTTTTTAAACTAGTCATATCTGTTTTCTTTCTTTCTGTTGATAATGACATTATTCAGACCAAAGAAGGCATGATATCAGATTTGGCATATGTAGGAGAGTAGTTAAAAATCGTACACAAAAAAAAAAAAAGTCAGACAAAGAAAGACAGTAGCAACAACAGACCTGAACATACATCTGAAGCTACATAAGCTTTAGATGATGAAAGCATTTGAAATGAATTTAGAATGGTATACACCTTGCTGATGACCGTGAGATGGAACCCTCTAACAGGTACATCTTGTACAATGTCAGAAAGTCTCAAAAGTCAATGAATTCAAATGAAGTGACATGAGAAACCTGCAGCTCAAAATACATGAAGAACAAATGTTAGGTGTTGTCTATGCATTGGTCATGTCAAGCAGCTGAAATCTTTCCCTTCAGCTTTTCAGAGACATTCTTTACTTATTTAGCTCCACTCTCTCAACTCTCCTTGCCACAGCCTATCTACTGCATTGCACCAATGCCAAAAGCTCAGAGTGAGGATTCTGTTCACTGCTGACTAATTCTATCAGGTTTCTGTGCAGTTTTTCTTGCATGTGTGTGTTTTTCTTAACTAGATGAGATGAGATGGCAATTGATTTTTTCCAAAGGTTAATACTTCTCACCGCTAAGTCTCCAAACCTATTTAAACAAAAATAAAAATAATGCAACATTCAAGCCATTCAACCAATCTTTTTGGGGGTGCTAAATTACATAGTGGCAATACAGAAATTCATCTTTGTAAATCTTTCATTCAAAGCCTATAGAGTGCTGCTCTGTACTACTCAAAATTGTGCTTGTTTTGACCATAAGAAGGCTGATAACTGTGGTCCAATAAATGTGCACTTGTGTTGCTGTTTGTCTGCTTCTCATTTGAAAAATGCAGCTTAATTAGAAATTCAATTTGCTTCACAGAAAAAGCTGCCAAGCGCAAGATCTGACATTCAAAACAAAATCAATACTTCTGTAGAACATTTAAGCATCTTGGGTAATATCACAGGACTGGAGTAATTCGTGTTGTGTATTAATGCTCTAATTAAAGATGTGTCAGGAGTAAGAATTATATTTCTTCATTATTTAACCTGTGCTTAACTGCTCGGTTCATATGAGGGTATTGAATAAATGTTCATGTTTATTATGGCTCCCCCCTCCAATCATGAGTGTGAGAAATGAAAGTTAGGGTAGATGAAAAATATTCTTTGTTTGTCAGGGATAAGAGATACTCAAATGCAGATAAGGAGAAGCAAGGAAATTGAGGGTTTTGTTTAGTTAGTGGTGAGCTACAGATTAATATCTAATTTTTTTTTCTTTTCTCCAAGAAATATGTCTGAATGTCTCTCAAGAGAATAAAGTATCAGTACAGTTCTTGGTTTTTTTAAAAAAATGTTAGATCTGATGAGCTCCTAATATCTGCATCTAAAAGTTTCTTTAGCCTATGAATTGACTCCTTAAGGTCAAAGTATGAAAGTTCATATGGATGCTAAAATACACCTCACTCTAGATATAAATCTATTTCTCTCGGAGAAGTAATTAATGATTTAAACCATAATTTGATATCAACTAAAGGGGGTGACAGAGACTTACAAAAACATCATATTTGCTACCTCTCTGCCTTGGCAAGGATATCTGCCATAATTTAAGTACTACTACTGCAGGAGACCTCTTAAGTAACGTCCTTGAAGCTCCAGCAATTGATTTGTTATTAAAAAGAATTTCCTTGTTTTTTTCTCTCTGTCATTTAAACCTTATTTCTCATCTACTCTACCTTGGACAGGGGGAATTTACTATTCCTTTCCCACATAGCATTTTTTAACATGTTGGAAGCTAATTAACATGTTCTTGCCAAGCACTTACTGGTATCTTTCTCTTAGTCCTGAGTTAATACCCCTTGAAAATCTGAGGTCTATATGTTAGAGAGATCTATATGATGTCTACATGTTGCCAAATTGAGGTAGGTAAACCCATCACAAAAAAAAAAATTGAATTTTAAATGTAATTAAGGGAAGATGGATAAATCTGGGTTTAAGTGCTTTGTTTCAGAAAGTTTTAAAGCCTTTATTCTGTGTGGCAATAAAATTCTGGAGAGGTAGAGGTAGAAATAATAGAGAAAGTAGAGTTACATAGGTCATCTTCTGGTTGTCTGTGGCTGAAAGACAAGAAATGAACAAGTAAGCCCTGGGGCTTCTTAAGTAATTTTAAAGAGGTCAGGTATCAATTTTGGAGATAAGACCATTTGATTCAAAAGGAACTGAATGGCTATTTCAGTGGGAAGAAATGAAGAGGATAAATACACTGTCAGCAATAAAAGAGAGAAGAAAAACCCAGAGTTTCTTTCTTGAGGCTTCAACAGAATTGAGAGGCTGAAGTCTCACCAGCTCTGGTTAACTTGGAAGAATAGCTACAGGACAATTGGTTCTCTGCTCACTGTGTTCTATCTGTCTACACCCATACCAGAAAATAGAAAACTGTCTCTGAATTGTAAATAATTAAGGACTTTATTCATGAGCCTTCACCATGATGTCTTTTACAATGCCTGGTCTCTAGCTCTAGCTCCACCTAGAGCTCAATGTGTGCAGAATCTCCCTCAGGTCATAGAGCCATAGAATCACAAAATCACAGCAACACAGAATCAGAGATTCATAGAATCCTAGAATGGTTTGGGTTTGAACGAGCATTAAAGATCAACCAGTTTCAACTCCCTGTCATGGACAGGAAAACCTTCCTCTAGTCCAGCTTTCTCCAAGCCCCGTTCAAATTGGCCTTGGACATTTCCTGGGATGGGGCAGCAACAGCTCCTCTGGGCACCCTGTATTAGAGCCTCACTACCCTCACAGTAAAGAATTTCTTCCTAATATGTCAGCTAAATTTCCCCTCTTTCAATTTGTACCAATTTTTTTCCTTGTCCTGTTACTACAGCTCCTGATGCAGAGTCCCTCTCTGGCTACACTCTAGGCCTCCTTCACATGCTGGAGGGGCCGTGAGTTCTCCATTCTCCTTCTCTTCTCCTGGATCAAAAGCCACAACTTTCTCATCCTGTCTTCATAGGGAGGGTGCTCCAGTCCTTTTACCAACCTCACAGCCTCCTCTGGACTTGCTCCAACAGTTCCATGTCCTCCTTATCTTGGGAGCAATAGAACTGCATGCAGTATTCCAGGTGGGAATACGGATAACAGAAGACAGGATAATCCCTTCCAACAATCAGGTGCAGATCAAAGGTCCTCTGAGATCAGCCAGTGCCCTCTCTATGTTTTGCATACCTGAGAATATCTCAAATGCCCTCAAGTCCCCTAAGTGTGGGCAACAAAAGGAAATCTTAAGTCAGAAATCTTAAATCTCTGCAGGCTTGAGGAGATGCCCCCAAGAGAGTCAAAGGCATGGTGAGGAGGTTAAGGTCTAATCCCAAAAGCAGCGCTGCTGTATCAGCATAACTTTACAACAAGAATAATTGACTTTAGCTTGCAGTTACCTCTGGGGTTCCTGCACTGGGGTGAACACACTATCTAGAAACATATGTGGAACACATAGAACAAGAAAATTTCTGGAACACATGTATTATACACATCCTAATGAGGTTTTAATGGAATCCTTCAGAGACGAATCTGTCCCAGTTCTAAAATAAGAGTCCTTCAAAATTCAAAAACATTATTTAAACAAAAAAAAAATTACATTGAAAATTTCAATAATTTAATTTTTCTGGAATCCCATTGCATTTCCTGTGTAATTTGCTCTGGAGTAACCCCGCTTAAGCTGGAAAGTTGGACCAGGTGAGACCATTGTGGTCCCTTCCAACCTGACCTATTCCGTGATTCTGGGTTTCAACAAGCAAAGTTCTAGGATCTTAATGCAAGATTTACTTGCACATTTTTTGTTCTGCAGACTAAATGGGGAGAAATCTTTCTAAGCAGTTTTCACAGCTCCATGTTCAGTGGTGTTCTACGTCAGCACCATTTTTTTCCTAATTGGATTGCAATAAAAATGCTAAATCCAAGTATTTATACAGCTTCCATTTTATCATGGATATTGTTTCCTTTTACTTTCCTTTTAAAGGTAATGATAATAAAGAGCCTAGATGAAATTCTCTTTAATATCTTTAAAGAAAGTATCCTTAATATCTGTGTATTTGGGCAAAGTGCAGTTTTTAAGAAAAGTGTTCTATAAAAAGAGGTATCTCCGAAAAAGACAAATTTGCTTCTAAGATAACTGGGCAAATGGTGATAAAGACTACTATTCTCTCAAAAGAAGAGAGAATAAAAAGTGGAATAACACTAAGATTTTCTTTCTAGAAGAGACAGTATTTAGTAATAAAATCAGAGAATATGGAGCTTTGGCAGTTTAATTTTAGGTTGTGGTTTTTTGGGGGTTTTTTGGGTTTTTTTTGGTTTTGGTTTTTTTTTTTTGTTGTTTGGTTTTTTTTTTTTTGTAAAAGACTAAATTATATAAGACAGAATAATATGGAACAGCTTTCTGGAATATATTTGCTGATAATGGAAATAATGCTGGCCTATTCACTGAAATCATACACTGAGAGTTCGTTGCTGTATTAAAAATTACTGAGTCTTTCAGAAGTAAGTTAGTGTAGTGTATGTAGGCATTCAGGTTCTGTTAGCGATTAAACTAAATAGAATACTATTTCATGCATGATTTAGCTCAGTTAGATGGAGAATGCAGCAGTGGGCTTGAAAAGGTAAAGGGTAAGTGTGGAAGATTATATAAATAAATGTTTTATTTTTGTTGCATGGTATTTACCTGAGATTGCAAATGCCTTATTAAGAGATCTTCATAGATTCCCCACTGATGTGTTCCAAAAATGTTAACAGATTGATCTGCCCTCAACGATGATAACATAGATATTTGTAGCCCTGCTGGGAGGAAAGAAACAGTTATTAATTGGCTACTGATGAATGCAAATTCTTTCTTAAGTGAATTAATTGTTTCTCTGAAAACACTTGATTGGGATGTCCAGATTGGCAATGCACTGCATCAAATAAAAACTGTGATTTATTTGAAGTTAGCTGTCACGTCTGATATCTCTTTTCCTTGCTGATATCTCTGAAGTGTGGGATTCATTGAATACAGGTGTAGTGCAGCTGATTTGATGCTACAGGAAGGGGAAAACACATGCTGAACCATTTTGCTGATCTACATGAAGCCTACAAGTTATAGGATGAATTATTATAGCATTTATGCCCCTCACTTAGATTGTGATTTTCCTCTTTTATCCAATTGCTCTCCTTTTCTACCACTGAGCTCAAGAGCATACCTGTTCTGCTCAGTGGTTGTGAAATAATACACAACTAACCTGCCACAAAGAAATTCCTAAATTTTATTCAAATTCCATGCTTAATTTTTTCCTTCAGTCAGTATTCCTTATAATTTTCCTTTCTTCTGGTAAAAAAAAAACAAGAAACCAAACAAAAAAACCCACCTTTGAATCTCTAAGTATACATATATTGCTTGTGAATGTTCTTTTTTGCTTATTCATATTTAGGTGTAATTCAAACACATTCATTTTTTTTTTTTCCTGATGGTCATGAACTTCCATAGATGCTTAATTTGTCCTGAGTGACCATAACAACCTCCCCAGCAGTTACCCAGTGAGGGGAAGGAAGCACAGTTTTTAAGACATTTTTGCACTCTCAGCTCTACTAGAGCTATTGCATCAAGAGCAGTTTGTGAAGCTAGAACATATTTAAATTTAAAGTAGCTATAGGCTGGCACGTAACTCACCAGGTCAGCTGCCAGAAATTCCCCAGTCTGATGAATTGAGGGGTTCAGTGTCAAGTGAGCTGTGCTATGTCCCTTTTTCTGGCATCAATATCTAAGTTAATGGTTTAGAGTAAGGTTAGAAACACCCATGTGAATTGCACAGGCAATTTCTGGAGGGTTAGGGACGTTCAGCTGAGCCTGGGGATTTTAGTGAAAATTATACCATGCTAATTCATTCTTTAGGGTCAGGCAAGGAGGTGAGTCAAATCCACATGTAACAATTGCTCTAAATACTCACAGGAAATCACTCCTGTATTGCCTGGCTGAAATTTTAAAAGCACAAATAACTTTCTGGAGTTACATTCAAATAAGGCATATTGATGTTCAGCAGCAGTAAAAAGGGCTTAGGAGGAACACTTTTAGAATTTCATTTGACTGACTTTGTATTATAACATTTTTAAATCATCTCAAAAACAGAATTTTGAAGTATACTATAAAGAATTCTTAACAAGAAAGCTTTAATGTATTATACATTTGATGGTATTAAAAGTAAGCTACAGTGTGTTTCCTTGAAAGTTTAGAATATCCCAGAAAAATATTCAACGTATTATGTCATCTAAAAGTTTCTCAAAGTATATAAAAACTAAGAAACATCACAATTTAGACCAATATCTCTCTTCAGTATCTGACTCATAAAGATTTTTTTTTCCATTTTTAAGCTATTTTTATGGCAGAAATCTTTATCTGAACCCTATGTCTTCTGTAGCGAAAAACTCTGTTCATGAACGTTGATATCAATCTCTCCTTAACCCTTGGAGGACTTTTCTAGTGATACATTTCTGCCCAATTAATCCTGATGCACTCTAATAGACATTGGAACTGAAAATGCCTGTGGAGAAATTGGTGTCCATTGCATCTCTTGCGTGGTTGTACTGTGTTGCTGAAATTTGTCAGCATCTTCGATCTTTGTCTTTTTTTTTTTTTTTTTAATTCATGGATATACTTAACTGTATTTACAGCAAAAACCTTTCCATTCCCTCTAAAAGCTTGGCCCAGTAGCACTTTATCTTTGTGTACATTGCATAATTTATTGCTTACTGGGTTTGGCAAAGGTTTGCTCTCATTTCCTTTTGTACTTGAGGTGTTAACCAATCATTTAAGCCAAACTCCCATACAGCATTCAGGCACCTTACAAAGCAGCAATGTTTTTGAAGGTAGTCCTACAAAATGAAAGTAAATATGATCAGTTGGTCTTGAGATCAGTTGGTACATTTAAATGAGAGAAAATGAGATACTTTTTATTTCCTTAGAGAGGCTAATCTACAAATAAATGACTGCAAAAAGAGAGAAAATATTGTGTGTGGTTTCTGGGTAGTTGCTTGAATATGTATGAACTGTCAGCATAAGATCACTCTGTGATGGCTGAAGGAGAATGAGAAAGACAATAAGACAAGAAGAAAATTATTTTCAGAGTTTATTGAATGGTAACATCCAGAACTGTGCTGGTCCTGCAGTACTGACTTTATTATATTACTTACAGATCTATGTGAGAGTTGTGTAGGAATGGGAGATAAATTTAAATCCATTAAGCAATGTGCTCTGGAAAAGGAGGAAGACCAGACTAGCAGGAGAATTAAAGATTATCTATTAATCTTAATCCTTGCTACAAAGAAGTACCATTTCTGTGGCAGTAGCCTTTTATAAGGAGAGGGAAGTTTCCCAAATATCAGTAGGAGCAGACAACTGGAGACTGGATTCTGAGCAGGTGCAAATATCTAAAACATCCTCTAGAATGTTATATAAAAAATAAATTAGTTCAAAAAAATCCGTAAAGTAGTACAATTATTTTTAATGCTGATCAATTTATATTCTCACAAAGGTTGCTTAAATACTTAAAGAGTATTTGTTATCTGATAAATCAGTTTAATTCCCTGGCTATATTTCTGATACTGTTCCTCCTTCCTTTTTTACACACCAAACTGCCTGTAGTAACATTTAACTGTTGTTCTTGTAAGGTTCTGGGCAGAGAACACCTTGTTCTTCAGAGCTGAGCAGTATCTGTTACCAGAAGGCTACTGCTGTGATGCTCTGATAACTGCAATCAGGGTAACTGCTCTGATGTTTGCTTTCCACTGCCTGCATACTTGGTTAGGAAAAGTGAAAATGCTTTAGGTGTAAATCCAGGAGCTTACTGTGGTTATAACTGAAGTATCAACAGCCTAATGTGAATTCTTAGTAGTCCAGGAGTGATTATAGCAGAAAGGAATAATACTGCAGAATTAGTCCTAATATGAATAAAACTACCTTTTCCATAGCAGAGGTTCAACAAGGGCAAGTGCTGGGTTCTGTACCTGGGCTGTGGCAACCCTGGATGTGCAGACAGAGTGGGGGATGAGATCCTGAAAAGCTGTGCCATGGAAAGGGACCTGGGGGTCCTGGTCAGTGACAAGTGGAACTTGAGTCAGCAGTGCCCTGGCAGCCAGGGGGGACATCCCTGTCCTGGGGACATCAGGGCCAACATCAGCAGCTGGGCAAGGGAGGGATTGTCCCACTCTGCTCTGGGCTGGGCCGGCCTCACCCTGAATACTGTGAGCAGTTTGGGGTGCCTCAGTATAAGAAAGGTCTGAAGCCTTCAGAGAGCCTCCAAAGGAGGCACCAAGGATGGTGAAGAGCCCTGGGGGAAGCCGTGTGAGGGGGTCTGAGGGCGCTGGGTCTGTCCAGCTGGAGAAGAGGAGGCTGAGGGGAGACCCCAGTGCAGCTCCAGCTCCCTGTGAGGGAACAGGAGGGGCAGGCTCTGATCTCTGCTCTGCTGTGATAGGGACAGGAGCCCAGGAAACGGCCTGAAGTTGTGTCAGGGGAGTTTGTGTTGGATATCAGGAAAGGTTCTTCACCCAGAGGGTGTTTCGGCAGCGGAACAGGATCCCCGGGGAATGGGCACAGCACCAATCCCAACAGAATTCCAGCAGTGTTTGGACAATGCTTTCAAGGACATGGTGGGATTGCTGGGATTCCTGCACAGGACTGGGATTTGGACTCAATGATCTCTGTGGGTCCAGCTGAGGATATTCTATCATTCCATGATTCTATGATCTAGTTAATAAAACCCTATAACTGCAGCACACAAATACAAAATAAAAAATTAGTCAGTGGCCTGTTGTTAGAAAGCACTGTTTCAGGTCAAAACCTAAGACAAAGCCTCAGGCAAGAGAACACAAATTCAGACAAAGTCAGCCAGACCAGCCTTGCTTCTGAGGTTGTGCAAACTCACTACAAAGCCTTTTATGAGCAGTAGCAATATTGTGTTTACTGGGCTACAGTGCTTCAAAGTGATATTCACAATAACTCCATGAACTACTTATTAGAGCCAGATTGCAGGAGGACAGCCACAAAAAATTGCAGTCCAAAGTTGAAAAATTTTTATGACTTCTGAAGGAGACATGAAAATGCCTGGGAACCCTCATCTGTAAGACGAAAGAAAGGTAAAACTGGAGCCACATAATCTAATAAAGCTGACCGGATCAAGGATGTTTTTCACTGCTATCCCACAGTCAATTCTTTCTGGGGCAGAATTTTTTCTTTGGACAACTGCTTCTTTGCATGTGATTGCCTGCAGCATCATCTTCCAGGCTTTTGCCTAGATGCTTCTGTTCTTGGCCAACTTTTTTCATGCAGCTGTTGCCTCAGGGACACTGTGGGGATAAGTTTATTAAGGCTTGTAAAGCACTCAGAAGGTATAATAAGAAAGGCCAGATAAAAGCCTTATCAAACAATGCAAGCAGGGTATATCAGGCCTATGGAATCATCCTTCAGAAATACATTTGTGAGACAGGGCTAGTATTTCCCTGAGCTGCTCAGCATTAAAATTTGCCACTGTAAAATCAGTTCTGCACACTGACAATTGAGTAGCTAAATACTTTGGGGAGAGCATCACAACTAACTAGTGAATCATTTATTTACAAATAGTTTCTTCCTCTTGAGCAGCTGCAATGTTGATTGATCCGAGACTCTCCATTAGACAGTGAGATAAACCTACAATCATTATATGTTGCTCCAAAGCCTGAAAAAGCAAATGAATCTCTTAATTGACTTGCTTGGGCTTTGGAATAGCCTCCACTTGTGTAATCTCTAGAAGCTGTCCAGAGACACACTTTACAACGTTTTTTGCCTCTATTACTCATCAACAAGAGAAAGAAGATTCACTAAGAAACCTTTTATTTTTCACTGTACACCTACCCAACTGAGATGCAATGTTGCCTGGGAATACTGGAGGCAGAAGTGGTGATGAAAACATGGCAATGGCTGAACAGTTCCAGTGGTAATTATCAAAGATGGAGCAGACTTTGTGAAGCTGAAGAACAAATAATTTTAAAGAAAATATGTTCAACTTTAGATGGTCAAACAGGTAAATCCAGATGTGACACAAGGACACTGCACAGTGGAAAGACTGATTTTAAAATTGATTATCTTTTCTTGATCTAATAATCTAAAAATGATTGTTTCTGTCTCTGTATCCTTTCATTGCTTTGTGTCATATTTTATGCTTTTCTTTTAAATGTATTTTTTGGGGGACTTTTTTTTTGCTTGTTTGCATGTAGGTATCATATTTTTTTCCACATTTTTCTGAAGTTTTTAGGCATTTCTCTTCATGAAATAGGGACTTTCCAAAAGAAATAACTACTTTATATTAAACTATCTGAATAATAAAAAGTGTTTACAGAATATTACAGCAAGATATATAAATATTACATAGGAAAATAAAAAAATAAAATAAAAATTATCATGGAAATTATGCAGCTTATAAAAAGTTATATCCTCTGGAAATCAAGTAGAATCATGCAGAATGAATGGATCAGGGCCATGATGGAAAATTTATTTTCTTGATAAAAAAAGAAGCTTAGATGTATAGATAATCTTTAACCTCACAGACCTTGAAAGAACATTTTGAAACCTCATTTCCTTCCTCCTTTGTATTCATAGGATGCTTGAAGAGTCTATTCAGTGCTGATCACTGTTTTATTCTTTGAAATTAAATTTTATGTTTTCAATATTACTTGTCATTATTGGACAGGACAGACCTTCTCAGGACTTATAGAGGTGATGGTTGAAGTCTAAAATTTTTTCAGGTATGGAAGAAATTAACCCTGTGATCTAATTTATAACTTCCCTTCTGTTCATGGATTCTGTTCATGGATCCCATTTGATACAAATAAGAAGGAAGATTTTTTTCACTAAATCTCATGGAATGTGCTGCTGGCAGACCTGGCAGACATTAATAGTGAAATGAAGGAGAAATTATCTAAGACATTAGGTGCTTATTAGTCTTGGAACAGGAAGATCCAGCTATATTAACTCTTGTTGGTGACCACTGCTAATTATGTTATTGACTAATTCCAGTAGCACCATAGCAACTGCTCTCATCTGGCATTTTCTGATATGCAGGGTGGTGAACTGTTTATTTAAGTTGATTAATAATAAGCTATTCAGAGCAGTTTCAGTTTTAATTTTAGTTGGTCATGTCTAACCTTTACTAGACTTAATAAAAGATGGACTTTGTAATAGGAAAAAAAACTTTGAAAATTGCAACCTCAATAAAAAAATCAGTACAATTAGGTCAATTTCTGAATCTTCAGTGATAATTGAAGTGTTCTAAAGTTAACAGTGCTAAAACAGTATGAAGAAGAAGACAGTGCAGGAAAAGGGGCTCTGAACTTCTTTAATGTATTATTAGATCTTTTGTAGGGATGGCTGAGGAGGGGGCAGAAAGCATCAATCAAAACCCTTTTATTTTGAGGTTATGGAGATCAAATAAAATGAAGTCAAGTGATGCTTCAAAAAGAGATGCTATGGGTTAAGGAGCTCCTGGCAAAGCACTTCTTAATAACTACGTGTGATGTTGTAGACAAGATAGGCCCCACCCCTAGCTTTTTTAGATTGTTTGGTTTTGACCAGCTATTCAATCATGCAGTCTAGACACAGCTTAGTGGCATGAGAAATACTCCCTTTCATGTTGCACCAATTGATTTATTTATAGAAATTTTTTCATACCATAATAGTCCAGAAAGTACTGAGATGTGCAAGATCTGAAGGAATTATTTTATGTTTTGCCCCCTGCCCCCCAGGAAGTTACACACCAAAGCATGCAAGACCCTTCTTCATATTTCATACTTCTGGTGCATGCATACTTAAATCTTTCCATCTCAAAGGAAGGTGTAAACTTAACTGAAATGCTGTTGCTACGTGCATCCAAAGAAATGAGATTTACAACTGTTTTGTATTTAGTACTCACAATTATTAAATTGTTCTGTATTCAGTGTCGTTATTATTCTGTTGTTTAGGAGTGCACATTGTTATTTAAATCCAGTCTGTCTTAGAAGGTGTAAGTTCAATGATACTGTTAACTTTGGAGAAAATGTCTCTGTTTAACACTTGAAGGAAAATATCTCCATAACTTAAGATTCTCAGCTCCCATATATATTGTTTACTTCATGTATTCTCAAATAATTTGTCAAAAGATTTGAGCAAACAATTTGTTACATTATCTCCTATTTACATAGGAAAGTAGGCTAACTAGGCTGACTTTTAATTAGCTTTATCTGAATAAAGCTAATTCTCTGGCCCTTATTCCATACCACCTATGTCATACTCAGGCTTCACAGTCAGCCAGTATATGAAGATATATAGTTATATTAACCACATGCTCCCCTTCCCATCCTTGGATGTAATCCACAGGTATCATGCCACTAGTCCTGCAAAATATCCACAAAATGTACATTGAGTTTGTTTATTCCATGACCTAGTGCTCTCACTGTCACAATGTTCAGGAGGTGGACAGGAGGTGTGGTGTGTGGTGTGGGGCTCTTGGGTAAAAATGCTAGGCTCAGCCTGTGTCACTGCTGCACTTGCACTGCTTCAATTAAAGCTCCAACCCCACTGATTTAGGTGCCTCATGTTACAGCATTTCCTATAAGATGCAAGTCAAATCCTGGACTACAACAATTTAAATGTGTTTCCATTACAATTTCCACCCCTTGTCCCTTTGGACCAGACCATCTGGTTTAACATTCCAAAGATCTCTCCCTTTAACCCTACTCTGGCCTGAACTAATCCACAGACAGCAACCCATAAGATTGTTCCTGCTCCAAACAGAGTCTTATCTATGAGCCACAGTCATCAGGGGCTTACCTGAGGCTCACATGTTTCAGAATGGCACAATCCATGGGCCGCAGGTGGCTTGAGGTGTCCTCCTCCCATCTGGACTCATCCACAGATCGCAGCACTCCCGCTCAAGCTCACACTGGGGTTCCATCCTGTCCAGCACAGACACAGCAGTGGTGCGCTGGTCCAGCCCAGGCACATCACCACTGCTGCTATCAGAACATTCTCAGGCACAGCGGAGAAAGGAGATGAGCAGCACAGCTCTACAGCGAGCAGAGAGAGCAGAAAGCAGCCACTAGCAAGCACGAGCCTCTGGCAAACAGGAAGAAAGCTGCATGGCAAGCACAGGAGCCTGCCAACTGATCCCTAAACAGCCCTAACAGATATAATTTTTATCCAGCATGTCCCAATCACATCTGTCATTACCTCAAATACTTTGGGGCCCCAAAAAGAGCAATCGTGGTTTAACTGTAGCCAGCAACTAAACACCACACAGATTTTGCTCCCCTCCTCCTTCAAATGGGAAAGACGTGAAAAAAAAACAGGAAAAAAAAAAAAAAACCATAAAATTTGTGGGTTCTGATAGAGGCAGTTTAACAGGACAGAAAACAGATAGATAACAATAATATTAAAGATTAAAAAGAAAGAAAACAAAATAACTAGAACACACAAAACAAATTATGCACAATGAATTTCCTTACCAACTGCTGGTCAATGTTCAGCCATCAGCCCCTGGCCAGCATCCATCCCCCCCTCTCTGCCCCCAGTTTCTACCCTGAGCATGATGCCATAGGGTATGGAGCATATCTCTGCCCAGCTTGGGACAGCTGTCCCAGCTGTGTCTCTTTCCAATTCTTGTGCCCCCTCAGCCTCCTTGCAGGCAGGGCAGGATGAAAAGCTGAAGAATTCTTGATCACTTATTAACAAAACCTAAAACCAGTGTTTTATCAACATTATCCTCATCCCAAATCCAAACCACAGCACTGTGCCAGCTGCTGAGAAGAAAATTAACCCTATGTCAGCTCAAACCAAGACACTGGTTTCCCTCTTGCTAGGATAAGAGAATTTCTAGGAGCTTTCTAAGCACTTTTAGGATACAACTCATCAAATTTGAGATTATTTGTTCACTCATGTCACCTATCGCTACAAAACCTATTTCATGCTTTATTTACATGACAAAAGAAAACTGATTCTCTAAATTTCATAAGGAAAATAGATTCCTTTCAAGCTAACATAATGACTTATTAAGAGATGTTAAAAGTATTTTTAAAAGAATTTAAACAGTTGTGATATGGAGTTACTTGTGATACCAAGAAACTGCATTTTCATGTAAACCCACATTGCATCAGAACTTCCTCATGAAAACCCATTCATCTGTCTCCTGTCACTTCTTCATATGTCTTACATTTCAGAATCTCAAGGGCAAGATTGCCATTTGTCTTACCATAAACCCTTGTGATTTAAAACTTCCCCTTGTGTCATCATCCAAATAATGACACCTCAAGAAATCATAATCCCTGAAATATTTTTCTGATATTGGTTTCCTTTCCTTTATTTCTTGCAACTAAAGCTAAATCTATACTTTTACACATGATAATTTATTCACATCTCATGCATTTTTGATGTTACATAGTCTGTACTCTTTTTTTTTTTTTTTAAATATGACAATGACAAAGGCTGTGAATAGAAAGTTGTAAAGGAGCTAGTGTGATAAAAGGAAAACATTCCTGTAGTCTAGGTGGGGAGAAGCAATTCCTCCTTTCTCTGGCAAACTACTTTAGCTTTTCTCCCCATTAATGCTGCAACACCACTGAGTAGTTCCCTGACACAAAGGCTGCATTATCCACTGATGGAAGAAGCAGCAATTACTGGTCCGTGCTGCAATTTCACTGTGTGTGTGTGTGTGTGTGTGTGTGTGTGTGTGTGTGTGTGTGTGTGTATGTGTGTGTGTGTGTGTGTGTGTGTGTTTCACCTGCAGCCTCTCTGAGGGGCTCATCTGTATGCAGCAAGGCTGAGAGCCTGGCCAGCTCACATCCTGCCTCCGTCCACGGCGTGTCACGGTGCCAGCACCTACGAAAGGCATTAATATTTATGGAGAGCCAGCACAAAGAAATCAAAGCATCTCTGTCTGCCTTTTGATTTATTCCACTCGTCACAAATTTAATTTTGGATGAACTTTTGGAGGGGCAAACCCTGCACCAGATACAGTGAGGCACGAATGCATGTGTGATATTCAACTGTAATTGAGAAAAATTAATGTTGATTTTTCCTTCAGTGAATTTGGGATTCCTTACACCTTTTCAAAAATTAACACATTTTAACATTTGTTCTAATTAAAGAAAAAATTAATAAATCCTTTCTTCCTCATTAAGCATCTCTCTTAATGAGGAGGTAAAAGAATATCCTTTCTTCCAAAGTCTGGAGATCATTTGTGCAGAACCAGGTTATCAAAATCCATGTTTGTAGTGCCACTTCCACACATGAAACCATCTCAGAGCTTCACAGTAAATAATTATTACCTCCTTCTCACCAAGTACAGAATGACCAAGAGCTGTCTGTTAGTGCTCAGTATGCTCCCTCCTCCATCTCCATCTTACCTCTGAGGGCTCTGCAGAAGAGGCTGGACTCGAAATGTTTTCTTTGGGTAAATGGAATTAATACAATTGCCAGGGTCGGGTGTCTGAGCCACAATCTAACAACTGAACTCTGTGGTGCTATAGCTTTGTCTACATCAGCCCTTCCAAGTCCTATATATTTTGTTTGTTTTGTTTTTTGTAAACTAATGACTTGCAGCATTAAGGCTGTAACCTCCCTGTGCTCTGGGGGTTCTGAGAGGGTAATGAATCACCAAAACTCCTAAGTTTTGTTTTGCTAGTGAACAGTCGCCTGCAGGCAGCTGTACTACTACCTCAGGAACACTGATGTTTCCTGAAAATAAAGACTTGCTTGCCCAGCCAACACAGTGAGGTTTTAGAAATTGGGTTCAAGTCCTTTGCCCCATCTCTGTGTCCCTGAGTCCCTGTCTGCCCTGTGTCTAATGAGTGGTACATACTGCAAAACAAGGATTGTCTCTTCTCTAGTGATGGCCACAGTGTGTAAAAGGCTTTGGAACAATGATGAATTTAGTTGGTTGTAAGGAAATGGGACAGGTGTGCTCTGACTGTTGGTAAACAAAAGCCAAGCAGGCAGACTTCTCTTCCCCTGAATGTGGTTATCTCCTCACATTGGGTCACATAACGAGACACGAGGACTGCACTACATCTTGTGGAAGCAACTCCTTTATCCCTTTGGACTTTTTGCAGGAAGGGAATGGGTAAAACTGGACATGCCATACACATACTTCTGGTTGCCATGTGGAGTGGAAAATTCACCATGCTTTGGAGTATTAGAAAATAATCTGGCCAGGTAGGCAGAGCTGTGGAAGTGACCAGGAACTGGGGCCAAGACCCTATTTCTCTTTCCAAAAGATAAAAGCCTATTTCAATAGTTTTCTGGTCATGTACCTTTTGCAACCTTGGCGGGGAGGTTCAGAACAGACATTAGGAAGCATTTCTCTACAAGAAAAGGGTGGTCAAAAACTGCAACAGACTTCCTAGAGAGGTGGTTAGTTACTTAAGTCTGTCAGTGCTTAAGAGGCATCAGGGCAATGTCTTTAAGAACATGCCTTAACCTGGTCTGCTCTGAATTGGTCAAACAGTTGGATTACATGATCATCATAGACACCTTCCAACTGAAATATGCTATTCTTCCTTTCCTTCTTTCTTTTGTTAAAGCATTCAGGTATTCCCAAGGTCTCATAAGGGCTTAGGCAAAAGCAAAGGTTTTTCTGCCTTCTGTATGAAAAGTCTCAGCTTTCAGCCCAGATACTTGCAGGGTATCTCCAGAGCTGCAAATATCTTCCAAGTCAAACCACCTGTGCAAACCATAGGATTATTAAAAAGGGCATTTGCCTGATTCACAGAGTTCAGCCCTTGACTGTCTGTCAAGGCTACCATGAAAACAAAAGACTCAGAAACATTTTGGTTATAGAGCTGTTAGCCCTGAATCCCTTGAGCTACTTGACTTCACCTAAGAAATTCCTCCCTTAATGTATGTGTGCTCATTACTCCTTCAACTCCTTTCCCTTGGGTCTCAGACTGGCTCCCATTTCTGATGGTTTCTAATGCCTTAGAGGATGAAAGAAAAGGCAACCCAGATGACCTGTTGAAGAACAGGTCTCCTTCCACACCAGCAGTCATTGACAAGGATCATGAAGTCTTGATTTTGCCAGTGCTCGCAACCCCAGTATCTGGTTTATCATCTGGCAGCCCCTCTGCCTTTGATGCCCAAAACCTACTAGTATGGTTTAGTGGCCATGGCAGTGTTTTTTTGAAGGTAGGCCTTGATGATCTTGGAGGTCTCTTCCAGTCTTAACAATTCTATTATTCTATTATATTCTGTTTTTTTCTCCAGCTAAACATAAAGCCTGTTGACCAACAGCTCTGTGTGGCTCAGTTTGTCTGCCCCCAGAGCTCTGCTGGAAGCCAGAGTGAGCTGACTCAGGGTTTGTTTCCATGATGTCAAAGGTTTGGAGCAAAGATGTGCATGTAGTTATGTATTTTAGCTATGGATAGCACTGGGAGACAAGAACCCTGCTTTTAATTTGCTACCATCACAGGAATAAATATTTTATATTGATGCTGTCAGCAGCAATTTGAGCATATATGCCCCTGGAATAAAAAGTGGGTTCATCCTTTTTTTGGGACCCGTAGTTTGTTGTTCTCTAACATCATCAGCTTTACTCCCCAAAAATCCATCTTCCCTGAAAACAGACTCTGTCTATTATTTTGGAAGGATAATAAAACATGAAACCAGAGCCACAGCTCCTATGATGATTTAATTCTGCGTTACTTACATATCAACAAAATGTTCTTTTTATCTAAACTAAGTATTACAAATGCATTATAGCTTGGCATACACACTTGGTAGCCCTGGGCAATAGTCATTTAACTTGTTTACCACATGGAATTGCTTTTTTTCTCTACCTTTTTCCTAATTTAAGGCAGTAAACACACCAAAATTAGGTATTAAAACAAGCTTGCTTCAATTTGCAAATCCAGGCACTTGAAGAAAAGGCTCAAAAAAAATTAAAAGCCAGTTAATTCCATTGCTCCCTTTCCTTCTTAGCAATAAACTGTAAACTTTCATGAACATTAACCTTTACTCTAGATAGGTAATAAAAGAGCAGTATCATATTTGCTAGATTAGTCATACATTTTGTCCCTTGGAGGGAAAAGTCTGAAATTACCCTCAGCATATTCAGAAATATAAGATAACGAATTAAAATACTTATGAGAGTTATAACTCATAAAAATATAGACAAAAAAAATTGAACTCAGATAAATGTTGATTAATCTGGAATCCACATCAGAAAACCTTTGTATGTTTACACATTTGACAGTATGTGCTTCAAAGAGATACTTGAGATTCATTGAGCATGGAAAGTGTACAAGCTTCTAAAAACAGTGTTCTCCAGTCAAAGTCTGACATGTCCTGATAAAGTCAAAACTAGTGCCAACTACATTTAAATACACCTTATCGTCCAAAGAAGTAGTGCTGTAAACCTTAAAAAAATACCAGTAGCAATTACTATTAATTAT